TATATATATATATATATATATATATACATATCATATTATATGCAACTACTGTATTTGTTTCTAGCCGTACGTATTCTGTAATGGAGTGTATCTGGTGGTATTTGAATTTTTTCAACCATGAAGCCTCCGTGGTCTAATGGTTATGACGCTCGTCTTGACAGCGAGAGGTCGCAGGTTCGAGTCGAATTTTATTACACAATTTCTTCATTTATTCACAGGACTACATTCGTTGAGAGCTATGCTACACGATGTATTATGTCGAACAATGTATTTACCTTTCTTTGATGATTTATATATAATTTAGCGGTGTTAACGGCTATCTTGATTTATGTATATATAGGCCTATATATATATATTTATATATATATATATGTATGATTATTAGAAATCAAATTTCTAGTTAAAGACCATGTGGACCAGTTGACTAAGCGTCTGTAACAGCGGTATAGACAGGAGAAATCCCGAGTTCGAATCGATTTGTTTCTTCACACTCACTATTACTCTTCTTTATCGTTTGCAATTTTTCTATGTATTCATAAAGCATTACCGCAAGACGGTTTGAGTTTATCACTTTACGTGAAACATTTCTTATATATTTAGACCCTATACACGTTGACTCACTGAGTCACACGGTACGGGGTACTTTTGTACAGTAACACGGTGTGTAGTACTTTTGGATGACATGTATTATAATTAATCAGTAGTCGGATTGTTAACATTAAGGAAGTCGGCGCATAGAATTAATGATAAACATAATGTTTACCAAACCAGTAATACAACTATAAAAATATTATAGGCATATCATTCCAAACAAATATTTTCCAGCTAATGAAAAAAAATGACATATCGCCCCTTTAATAAAATACAAAATCTACTTACACTTACAGTGCTTGCAGTATCAAAGTAGCATAAGGTCAGCACGTAACAGGTCACAAGAACCAACTCGATTTCGAAAATAATAACATAATCACACTGCAGCAAACGGAAAATTAGGAGAACTAATATTACGATCTGAAAAGAAATAGTATAATGACAACTCTAACTACAACGATTTTGGAAATATGGTGACAATAATATCATTACAATACCGGTATAAATTTAACTGTTCCCTGATTAAAACATGGGTATACCGTAGTCGTTGGATGTGAACGTCGGTCGTAAATGTTTTGACAGTTCGTATTGGAGCAAAGCTGAATTCCCACCGAATCCGAATGCTCGGATCGGAAGGCCTACCGAACCGAGCAGAAAATCGAGCGCATGGGAAACTCGGTTGTCCGAATTTCGACTCGGATCCATGAGAATGCAGCTTAAAGCTGTAATAATGTTGTAATGCTTTTATTTTTATCCTAGTGTCTTGGGTTCAATTCTTATCAGCGATGGCATCTTTTCTCACGATCAAACAAGAAGTTCATTTTTTAAGTCTCATAATGAGATTATATGTAGGGCACTATATAAGATATTGCTGAAGTCAGTGATTAAAAGCTTGCTATTTGGTAATCAATGTGCCTAAATTTGTAACAAAAAGGTGGATCCTTGTATCAACATCAATAATGTCAGCGTTACGTCAAGGGCGGTGCCAGAAATTCCCCGACGAGGGGTTCAAGCTCCCCGACAAGGGGTCCAAGCTCCCCGACAAGGGGTCCACTCCCCTCCCCGTCCTGTCTCTTATACACATCTAGATGTGTATAAGAGACAGCAGTGGCCCTCTGGTCGATCGTTGACGTGGTTTGTACGTCAGTGTTTGAGCACGAGGTATGTCCTTTGCTTTTTTTATAGCATTTTCAATGGGTCCTCGATGATAATTTTTATTCCGGAGATGTCCGGATAGTTCTTCTGTTCGATTCTGAAAATCTAAATCCGAAGAACAAATGCGTCTCATGCGCAATGCTTGGCTGTACGGAATGTTTTTTGTACAGTGGAAGTCCCGACAAGGGGTCCTTTACCCCCCCCCCCACCCCACCTCGGACCCCCGCTAGCGACGCCCCTGCGTTACGTATTCAACATCATTAACATGTAGTGATGGTCTACCGTAGCGGATACCTTAAGTGTGATATAATGTAGTTAGATTAGAATAGGCCTACAGTAAACTCTGATGCATCCAGGCAGAATAGACCCCTCCCCGTCCGGCAGTAGGTAAGACAACACCCGAAAACATCGAAAACATTTCTCTCTCAATTACGTAAGCTCCGCCCACTTCAGATCTTAGGTCCTCGTTTGTCACTCTCAGCACTCTGTTTGACGCCATGACTTGCCAGACGGGGTGGGGAGGGACGTGTTCATAAAGGGAGGATGGAAATGTTTTCGAGGAGAGTGTAAGTAGGCGTGGTCTTAAAGGCTTATTTAATATATTTTAGAGTATATGTAATAATGCATATATTTTTTTCTCTCTGGCGAATTGTTAATTATACAAAAATTATCATTGTTTCATGTTAATGTATTTTGATCAAATAACTTCATTTAGCTTCGAGTGTATTAGCGCATGGAGGAATAAATTCCTTCATGATTAGCGTAATATAAATTAAATTTGAATTAATATATTTTATTCAGATTTTTATATTATCAATAGAACACAGTTAAATTATTCCACAGTATGCGTCGCGTGCACTTGGAGCGCTTTCATAATTTTTCATTAAGCCCAAAGGTCGGTATTCTGAACTTTAATTATGTATGTCCGTTTAGTTGATGACGAATTAGCATGGATAATGGTAAACAGAGATTGAAATTTGGGCAGAACCTGCATACGATTTACGTAATATTATAATTGCTATAATAACGATAAATAATATACGGTAAATAATAATAATAACAACAATAATAATAATTATTATTACTATTATTATTATTATAATTATTATTATTATTATCATCATCATCACTATTATTATCGTCATCGTTATTGAACATTATAATATATTCGAGCAAATAACATACACAATTTACCTAATAATAACAAAAAAGAGAACATTGGTGTAAAAGTAGTCAATATAATAATAACAATAATAATGATAATAATAATGATATTAATAACAATAAAATATCCACATACATTATAAATAAATTCATATAGGCATATTATATGAGGGACTTGATTATCTATGTTTCATATTACATATGCACATATGTATGTAAACATGCAAAATAGATGGTGCGATCTTGTGCTGAGATTTGATAAACGAAAGCTAAATGAAAGATATAAATAGGCCTAAATTATATGAATTTACAGTAATGTTCGAAATTTATAACATAAGCAAGACTATTAAGAATGTATATCTTTATATCAACGACGCCTTATTTTTTTATAAAGCAATTTTGTATCTCAACAAACAGAGTTTCAGGCATTCATTTCTCACACTAACAGTGTGTTAAATTGCATTAACATTAGTCTGTACTAAATACCTCAATGGGGCGAACTTTGGGTGAGCATTCCTGAATCTGAATTATATGTATGAATGGTCTATATGGTACCGGTATTATGCGACTATATTTTATAAGGCATAATGTGCATTTACGCACACATTGTAGTTCGTAATGTCAAAAATATAAAAAATGACGTAATGATTTGTTGGCTAATACCGATGATGATTTTCGTACATTCAGATTGTTCTCGCTACATTTAAAGTAGGCCTACAATTATTATAGGCTTTTATTCCCACGTTTCAATTAAACATCAACACAAATAATTACCCTATACTCAATTAGTGCTTCGGCGAACTAAATAATATCGACTCAATTTGATACTGAATTTTGTTCTTACCTTCTACCGCGAGCTTGTCTAGCCTACTTCGATGCGAGAGTTCGGCGAACATGTGTAGCATTAATGTGGTGTATTATATGGCAGCCTAGTAGGAGGCGTCGTCTGTCGTTACTGTCAGCTCCTTTATTTCAATGCAAACATCAACTGTTTAATGAGTTTGATCACAGTACAGCAATCTGCAAGCAATCGTTAGCGTATGACGTCATCGTTTCTAAATTGATGGATCATCATTGACATAGAATAGTGCTGTTGGACTTCTAATAACGTGTATAGGGTGAGTAAACTTGGGTGGAGTCAAATGGAGGCTCTCTCATACCTATAGCTCAGTCCTCACTATCAAATTTTATGTGACCAATGTGTGTGGTGTGCCCATATATGGGAATGATGATGTTATTATTACATCCAAATTATGGGCATATCACATAGGTAAGACAACACCCGAAAACATCGAAAACATTTCTCTCTCAATTACGTAAGCTCCGCCCACTTCAGATCTTAGGTCCTCGTTTGTCACTCTCAGCACTCTGTTTGACGCCATGACTTGCCAGACGGGGTGGGGAGGCACGTGTTCATAAAGGGAGGATGGAAATGTTTTCGAGGAGAGTGTAAGTAGGCGTGGTCGGACGTCGCTGAAAAACCATAAGAATTTAGAGGTTTTAAAGGCTTATTTAATATATTTTAGAGTATATGTAATAATGCATATATTTTTTTTCTCTCTGGCGAACCTATACCTATAACTTTACCTATAGCTCAGTCCTCACTATCAAATTTTATGTGACCAATGTGTGTGGTGTGTATATATATATATATATATATATATATATCTCACGTATTCATGTTATTCATGTTATTTCTTACACAGAGTGTAAGATGAATACAAAACAATGAACATCTAGGACATAACATTTATTTGATATTTTATTAAAAACTCTAATGAGTGGTACAAATGAGTTGTGTTATCTATCTGTTCTACAGTTTTGTGATTTTAACCGACCAGAGGGTAGCCAAGTATAAAAGATGCGTTTATGGGGTGGAAACTATCTGTTGAGATACTCTTTACTTTATCAGTAATTTTAATCTCACATATATCATCTAGGCCTAGTTGTCTGATTTGTTTGAAATTTTAAATAATCGTATTTTATTCCTAAACACCAAAGAATCATTAACTTAATAAAGTTTTTATTGTTTCGTTTCGTTTCATTTCATTTATTTTATCACACGATAAAAATATATACCGGTACATACAATAATAATCATAATCAAATTACAAATTACAAAAGTAATTAAAAATTCTAAATGATACAAGATTATCGTGTGAATGGGGGTCATGATAAGTTTTAAGAAACTTACAAAATACTTGTTTCTCAATTTATTGTATTCTTATTTTTCTCGATCAATTCACTTTGAAATTACCACGAATAAATTATGTTTAGGCCTACATGTTATTTCTTAAATATAATAAATGACGTGTAGCCTAGCTAACTCTCACTACATTTGAAACAAAAAATGCTTAATGTTGCGTAACGATTACAGCAACTATGTGAACACAGAACATGTATGTGCAATATACACGCATGCTAACTTAACCTCCCCCACTAAGACATACACATAATATCCGGGACAAACATTTGTGTTCTCTATCCTGTCAGGCTACTCCTCTCATAATATTATTATATTCTTTTTCCCAAAATAGTTAAGTGATATATATTAAATACGTCGATAAGCACATCATCGCATGATAGCAACTCTATATATAGGCCCTACATATTATTTATTGATTCATTCACTCTAATAACATTGAAAAGCACGACATAAATTACGACTAATATCGTCGGCACCTTACATATTAATTCATAATAATAATAATAATACTGCGCTATATATAATATACAGTAGCACACTTAAACTGCCCTAAGCGCTTCACATTGTCACTTAATCAAATCTCTTTGGAACGCATCTTCTGTTCCCTGGGGAAGACTTCCATAACATTTCGAGCTAGATTGCGAGCCGTTTTGGATCCAATAGATACTCAAAATACTTGCGTAAGCTTGAAAACCTGAAACGCAACCGCAGCGCCTAACATTCTTTGCTGAATTAATAAATAATTAGATAATAATAATAATAATGATTGAGCTTATTGAATTGAATGTCAATGCAAAAATAAATAAATACAGAAATTATTTTAAACCATATCTAAAATTAGTATACTCTAAAATGGAGGTTTGCTAGTTTGACTTCTAAGTTAATCATTGTCGACTACAGTAAATGCTCGAATAAGCGCCACGGCACTTATAACATTTCTGGGGGCTTCAGAGACGATTCGAGAGCGGCGCTTATATAACAAAAATATTGGAGTGGCGCTTTCCATGCCTGTTGTCATGTTACCTAGGCCTATCTCACGTATTCCCGTAGTTCAGTTGGCATATCATAGGTCCTACGTCACCGTAATTTAACGTTTATAAAGAAATGCTTGCGTCTTCATTTTGTTATTTTATGTTCACAACATTGTATTTAAAACCCTGTTTGTCAAAGTGTCATCACACGCAGGGTAATACTCTCGATTAAGCGCCGCGGCAATTATTCGAGAGCAGTGGCGTATCTAGAAGTCTTGAAATGGGTGGGCGGGCTGATTAGCATGTCGATTTTCAAAAGAGAACAAAACATACGATTTCTTGTAGATGGGGTGGAGGTGTTAAAAGCGTAGGCATAGGCCTATTATGTAATATTTTGTGAAAAAGATAAACTGATTGTCTCAAATAAAAAAAAGGTCAATATTGTATTGTGTGCCTTTCCAGGGGAAGGAGGTGTGGGTGGGGGTCACAGAAAAGAGTTTTGTACTCTTAGAAATGTTGAAAATTATAAATGACCCCTTGGAGGCCTATCTATTAAGACCTCTGTTGCCAGTATTTAATGTTTGCTTTCTTGTAATATTTCAAGTTTCATTACATTATATTTTAGAATTTATGATGAAATGATACAATGTTTAGATTAAATAATGTTTAATGCTGTTGTTCTATTTACGTATTTAAAATAATGATTAATTGGCAGGAAATTGCAATAAAATAATACAAAATTTAGCGGTATCGTACCACATGGAACAACCTACGTGGAAGACTTAGGCCCTATTGCTTTCGTAAATTGATATACAATATAGGCCTAGTTACAATCATTTCTCACGCACACACCCATGTCATGCCAACATAACTATCAATAATAATAATAATAATAACAATAATAATAATCCTTAAGTCCATTTTAATGAATGTTAAGAAGTATTATAGTAATAGCCCTATCAAAATGGTGTTGATTGTAGTTGATTTGGCAATTTGTAAATTTCTACTGAACACTCACTCTCGACGTTTTATAAAATACGCTCAATTTTTTAATAAGATTGTTTTCCATACAATCGGTACACGCTATCGCCAGCTTTCCGTGATGCAGCTTGGTCGGTCAAATCGGAATTCCCGAGTGTGTCGGAGACTGCTCCACGGTACAACGATTACATTGAAAACACTGTAGCGACAGTGCAGTGATTTTAAGGTAATCAGGCTTTATGTAATTTCTTAAAATACCCCTCATGGAAGCTTTGGCAGTCCTTCTGATTCTTTTTTGTGTCTTATTCTCTGGTGCTTAAGTTCTCGAACTAAATTGGTGTTCAATTTCAGGGGCGGTAGGCTGCATACATCAGACGAACGACGTTGTGTTTCTTTTTTCGTAGTTCTTTTCTTTTGAATTTTTGGAGTCGGTCTATCAAGAATATTAGAACTTGAGTTTTTTAGATGCATCTTCGAAATCGTTTCAAAACATTTTAATGTTTTAAGGGAGTCACGTGGTTCAAGTAGACCTATTAAACTGGACGTGCGTCTCTTTTGAATGTCGTATTTTGTCCCCTCTTTTAAATCAGCAAGTCTTTCTTCAGTTTCCTTCTCTCGGCGTACTATTTCCATTGTTGTATTTTTATCCGTATTTTCAACTAATTTACTATTACACTGTGAGAGGTCATTTGTTTCATTGTGAGTTGATTGACCTTCGATTGGCCGTCGTGAGTTTATATTCGGAAGACCCACGTCTTTGGAAAATCGTTTTCGGTTTGATTTGATATTACGCGCATGCTTTGTTCCTGTCGTTTCGATTGAACGGTTGTTTAACACGATCTCATATTTTGATTTCTTTCCAGCAACTTCTGATGTATCGATATATTGGTAAGACCCTGAAATGATTCTTTCCGTTGATTGGACCTCTTGATTACCTTCAATTTCAGTTGAATTACTCTCTGCAACTATTGTGACGTCACTTTTCTCTACATCGTCATTTTTGGCGATTGGTGGCAGCAGATTAAATTTCGCCATTCTAAATTCATCTGATTTCATACTTCTTAAATCAATATTTCGTAGTTCATCTATAACACGCTTGGCAAGAATTTGCGAATTTGGCGCTTCCAGGCGATCTTTTAATAGCTGAAGTTCCTGTTCCTTATGTCGCAGACGGTTATATTCCATTTGAAAAACTGGTTCATTGGAGCCGTTTCTTAGATGGCGCTCAAATACCGTTTCACTACCGTTCAATCGTCGCTTAGTTTTTGCAATATCCACCAAGTTAAACTTCAGATCGTGCTTTGTTTTAAAAAACGCCCTCATTTGATGAAGTTCTTTACTATCAAGCTGTTTGTTTTTCTTACTCAGTCGAAAATTTTCCAACTTGTTCGTGAAGTTAGTGCGATTCCTGTTCCTGTTGCTAGCATGATGTAGATTTTCAAGTCGTTCTATGTGGGTTAGATATTCACGGTGTTTCCTGCTAACACCAGTTACCATTTCATTCTTGTCTGTCAGTCTGTTTACAGACTGTGACATCATTCTACAAGTGTACTTTTTCCTATAAGCGGGACCTGTTGTGTCTGTTGAAGGAAAAATTCGAGATGTTAAATTCACTGGTACAAATGAAAATATAAATTATTACATTTATGTGATATATATTATTATTATCATCATCATCATCATCATCATCAGGAATCATTATCATCCTGATCACCACCACCATATCATCAACAGCAGCATCAGCAATCACCTTTACTATCACAACACTTTGTCAAACACAAGGAAATAGAGGACACACAGCAAACATGAATGAAGTCATGCAAAACACGGAGAAGCAAATCGAAGTACTAAAGAGAAACATTAAAATTGGGTAAAAGGGTAAGATAGCAACACAGTACATGATGGTGCCGGCCATACATATATACATATACACTTTCTGCATTTCTAATGTGGAGTACTGTTCAGTATGTTTTTTATTTAATTATTATTTAAATTCTGTGACCGCAATGTAAATAACTTCGTTGCTATTAAACCATGACCAAAGATTTCGAGGTGATTAAATTTTGAAGGGTTTTGGTCAAAGGTCAAGGTCATATTCGACGAAAAACTACTTTATTCATATGATAGTCTACGTGTGCACAAATTTCATCAAACACTTGTCAAACTCAGCCACAATATTCCATGACCAAAGTTATAAAAATGATTTTGAAGGTCAGGTCAAAGGTCAAGAACACGATGAGCAATAAAAAAATTACTTTTTTAACTGTCGACCGTATAGACATGTGTTTGTATGCTTATAGGGTTTGCCAAGTAAGTGCAATAAAAGTAGCATTAATTTTACAGCGATTCATGCGAAAACAGTTTGGTGTAGAGGTTAGAAGAGTGTTTTCCACACTACTGACCCTGTGTTAGAATCCCATTATATTTATTTAGTTTATTTTATTTTTTCCCCTATTATCTTTTTAAAGGGAGAAGAGAAGAAAATGGTTAAAGAAAGAGGAAGGATAAAGGCAAGAAAAGGAAAATATATTTAAATGGAAAAGAAAGGAAAGGAAAAATTGAAAGAAATAGAAAGACTAAAAATAAATAGAAAGATAAATAATGAAAGAAAAGATAAAGAAAGAGAATACAGGGAAGTAAAATATAAGAGAGACGAAAGAGGTCGGTATGAAAGAAATGAAAGAAAAATGGAAGAAAAAACATGGAAAAATGGAAACAAATGTTAAGTAAGGTAATTAGAACAAGAAAAGAAATATTTTAAAAATTAATGAAATAGATCAAAGGAACCTTTAACCACTGTAATTTATAAATTATTCACAATTTTTAAATAAATTAACTCTTTTATTACAAATTCATGTTATTGCTGAAATTGGACCTTTTCCGGTGTTGATATCCTATTGATAATTAAAAACATAGTAGGCCAAATACACCTTCGAGAATTTTAACCACAAATGGTGACCTGTTTCTTTGGCACATAGGCTTGTTATACTTTACAGTAGGCTTACATTATTTCATTTCTTTCTATTTCGAATTGTTATAAGTTAAAAAATAAAAATAAATAAAAACATATATAGGTCTGTACTACTTGCCAGAACTGCTGTTCTTAAGTCATTCCATGCTTAACTAGATGACGTATATTCAGATGCTAATTTTGGCAGACAATTAACTGCTATTCATTTACAGTAGTCTATCACTATGTAACTGTCTCTTATACACATCTAGATGTGTATAAGAGACAGTATATATGCTAGGTAAATACGGTACATTGTACTAATACTAGTAACGTTCTTCCAAATTTTAATCCCTAACAATTGTATAGTAAATTTGGTTTAATTTATCACATACGAAATACTAGATGTCTGACTCCTATAAAACCCGAACTCCCAGGAGCCAAATCCTCACATCAATTCCCATAACATTAAATTCCCTAATATAATAACCCTTCATACCTTTCCAGCGTGTTCTCACCGAGATGATCTTCCTTTTCTCCCTTCTTTTACAGGTCTGATCTGACGTGTTTGATGTGAATGAATATTTGGTAACAATAGCATAGGAAAACTTAATTGTGTCTATCAATAGGAATTGGTCGTAGTTGAGACTCCTTTTATACTGTGTGTGGGTTTAAGTCTTTGGTTGGTGACAGTCTTTACACAAGTTAATTATCTGACCTATCCTAAAGGCCAACAAATTTACAATAGGCCTACATAGCGTTCGTGCATTAATCTGTACAAATAACACAGTGAGATGGTGCTGTTCAAAAGTATAATGTAATACACAATAGAGAACACTAATAGGCTTAATAATAATTAAAACAACACAGGGGTTCAATAAAAATAATTGAGTTGCTTCAATCGGTACCCATAAAATGGGAGGGGGTGGGTGTATTTGGGCTGATGTGAGGAGCGAAGATGGAGTAGGTGGAGAGGGTGGGGTCGATGATTAAGTGAAGGCCGCTAGGTTGCAAAATAAAGTGATTTTTAACTACTTGTTAAGCGTGATATTTTTGCTTCGAACAATATCAATTGGGGAAGGGAGTGGTTTATGGAGAGTGTGTCTTCCCGTCATCATTATCATCCTATTGTCATCATTGTCATCATCACCACCTCATGTCATCCTTCATCATCATCATCATCATCATCATCATCATCATCATCATCATCCTCGTCATTATTATCATCATCTCATCGTCATGTCAGCATCATCCTAATCATCATTATCATCATAATCATCATCATCTCATGGTCATCTCATCACATTAATTACCATCACCATCTCATCATCATCTGTTATTCTTCTCATTATCATTTTATCTACATTTCATCGTCATCATTATCATCATCATCGTTATACCTATCATCATAATTACTCACCATCTCATCATAATTAGTATACTCACCATCTCATTATTATTATCATCATTATCCTAATTATAATTGTCCTTATTATCATCTTCATATAAGTCAACATAGACACCTTCATTATTCGTCATTATTGGTAGTAATGTTCATGCTCAATGCTTCAATGGTATCAACAATAATTATCCGAAATGTTAATACATAGGCCATTTTATGTATTACGCACATGATCTGACAGGTTTTCACCTCAGTAACAATACCGTTACTATCTAGGGATGAACACAAGCAAAACTACTATAAACACACCTACCTCTCTGTCTGTTATCTCCCCATTGCAGTGTGTTCTAGGACGCAATATCGAAACCTATATGCTCTTCTATCTTTACTTCTAACTCTAGCTGGTTGGCTTCCATTGCTTTAAGTGGTTTTCATGGAATGTCGAAACTGCGCGTGGGACCATAATGCTATTCGTGTCATCAATCATTTTTCAAATAAAAACGGAGAAAGACGCTTGGGACGATCGTTATGTGAACTTGAACAGACCACTTAAACATGACAGCTTACAGAAAATAAGGCCTTGCTGTACATTTTCTACTCATAAATTTAAATTCGGATGAACGCTATGGGCTCTCGTTGATTATTCATAACGCATTGCGGAAAGCCTTTAAAACAGATTCGTCATTAAACAAACTGTTTGAATACAGTAAACTTTAATCATTGTGTCACAATGATTATCCTTGGTGAATAGTTTTGGAAGCGGTAACTACAAGGTACTACATGGTACAAGGTACAAGGTACAATGTACTACTGTATCCCAAAAAAAAAATCAGTTTGCTGAAATGAATATTTATTTTCTCCCTCTTTTAAAATTTAACACATTTTTAAGTTCATTGACCTCATCCCGATTATTTCCTTCCCCCTCAATCGTTTATACACTCCCGTATATTCGAATTGTACCATTAATTTAATAGTTTGTTTTTACTTTGTACAGTCTTAATTTTCTGTTGAGTTACAATAATCGCAGTATCATTGACATGCGATGTTGATGTTCCATCTTCTGCGAAGAGGCCCTCCAAGGAAAGTTTACGTCCCAGGCGAACACATTGGAAATTTACTCAGAAAAAAGTTTTGCATCAGGACAAATAACAGTCATTTATTGAACAATAATAAAATGAACATTAAACACGTAACCTAATGTTTAAAATCAAGGTCTTTCATTAAGCCTGAAACAATAATAGCTAATCAAAACACAGTGCTTATGCAACTGTGTCTTATAAGTTTTTGTTTTTTGTTTTAATCTAATACGGGATTGAATGAATGTTATTCAATTAGAACTATGTGTACACAGTATATTTACTTAATGTCTATAGTTAGGACAACCTTAAAGATGTACTGTATTGTCCCATAACAATGAAATTAATTGCTTGCTTTGCAGTAACATACATTAAGTTGAGCATAGTAATTATTGAATTTTAAGAATATGTACCCTGATTATCATATTGGATAATGATAAATATGATAGCACTTCCAGTGACTGGAAGTGTTTCTATCATTTTTCGCTGTAAATAATTAAATACACAATTTTATATATTTAAGTTGATAAATACTATAGTATATTATGTAGTATGTTAATTATTACTGTATGTACTCTTTAAATGCAAAGTATTTCTGTCGCTTCTTTCAATGTAAAGCTTAAATCATCAGAAATAAGAATGTTTTTTTATGACCAATGAGGTATAATGAGAGAACCATGATACACAAAAACTAAGAACATGACTCAGATACGTTTAACATTAAACATCCAAACATTTCATATACTGTATAACCTTATTACATTTTATAATAAACATATCAATTAGATGTAGGCTTACTTAATATCGTATAGCATTAACAACAATGCTTTCAACTAATAACCATCCACATTCACCTCATTGCCTCGTTCATTGGTGTAACTGCCCAATACCTAAAATATGCCTACAATTAATCAAGTCACGGAATGTTTAAAGCAGGACCGCCGCAACCTACAGCAATGATACCGGTGCTGGTTCCAGCCTGAGACAATTATTGACAAGCCCGTAGCCAGCGGGGATTTTTTATGGCCGCTGGCAAATCTCCCTTTTATAGCAAACCCCTTCTTTTCTCGCAAACGCCCTCACAATTTTCCGAATGAGTCCTCAAAACTAATGCACTGCAGACGCACCCAGACTCAGACGGAATGTTTTATGCAGACCTCTTTCTAACATAACGGCTTTTTCTAGCATGATTTCGACCCATAAAACACAAAAATACTTCGGCTTCGGGGGTTCGGCGATCCCACGCCCAGAGACCATCTTTGGAAGAACCTGGCTACTTGCCTGATTGAGGAGTATAGGCTATATTGGCTCATGTGAACTTAAGGACCGCGGTGCAATACTGTAATAATAAGAATGATAGTTATAGTTTGAACGCCACTTACCAATTTCCTCAATCATTTTGACTTGCTGAACCTAAGTTAATCAAATGTTCTGTAGGCCTGCATCGGACACATACAAAAAAGAAAACCTTTAGAATAATAGTGCAATGCAAAGACTATTGTTCCTATAATAATTTAGGCGTGAATCGACAAGGATTACAAACGAGGGGCAGGGTGTACAATCGTGTGATAATCCAAGGCCATGAGGCTATCGTGTTGAAAAGGAGTTGACATTGTGGAAGTCTACAATCAAATTGAGGAAAAACAAGAAGACAAATGCGGTCCAGAGGTACAACCTTTGATGACTGGGGCCGAGTTGACTGTGGCCGAGTTGAATTTTGACCGAGTTGACTTGTCAGGCGCTGATCCAGACCATCGACCAGTTCGCCCAGGCGAAGGTCAGTGAGAAATAAAAATAAAATTTTGACCATTTTTTTCAACAATCATACTTACATTCATTGACTTTTATTTTGAACATTACCATTAGGACTTTATTTGAATCCACACTAGCCTGTATCATTTTTACACTGATTGTACTACAGGCCTGTCACGCCAAAATTAGTCCGGGCCACCAAAGTCGGTCCGCCGGACTACTTTTGCCCGCTAAAATCGGTCCACCGGGTCGATTTTAGCAGCTAAAATTGGTTCCCCATGGATAAAATTGGTCTGTTGGCCTATCCGCTTGTAAGGCGTCTGCTGCCCGTAGGGTATATTTGTTTCTCCCGTGGAAAAAAAATGATAGCCCAGAACGCCGTGATGACGCAGGTAGGGTGAATTTTCGTCTGAAATTATCAAGATAATAAACAGTTTCATTGGAATAAATTTTTGTTTATGTTAACCGCATGCTTACCTAAGATTATACTGACACTGGTTTCAAATCACGGTCAAGTAGTTTAAAATCACCTTATTTTTTGAATTAGCGCCCCTAAACTGATCATCGAGCCCCCATCCCCACTAGCCCCTATTTCAAGACATCTAGATACGCCACTGACTTACATGGCCAGATGAATGAAAATACTCAATCGATGTACCACCAAATTGTAACCAGCTTTCACCATGCCATCATGATGTCACCGGGGACGCAACTGCCAAAAATAAATTTTCCGACATCAGCGGAAAAACTCTTTGTGTCAATGGGCGTAGGTACACCCCAATGGGTGTCACTCGGTCGGCGTAATAATTTCAACCTATTGCATTTCCTCGTGTGGATACATAACGGGACCGATTTTCTAGTTGCGGATTGAAATTACCTCGCTCCGTGCACCGAAAACTCCTTGGAAATTCTTTTTCTTGGCTTGTTGGCCACTTTTTAAGTATTTTTACTACGGAAATTAATTTAGGGACCGATCGTGTGCGACGGTCCCTTTGTCTTTTGTCGTAATAATTCTTTGCTTACATGGCAAGATGAATGAAAATACTCAATCGATGTGCCACTAAATCGTAACTAGCCTTCACCATGACTTCACGGTGGGCAGCTTTCGATTTGGACGACACGGCGTTCTACGACGGACAGTGGAGCGTGAAACCGTACTGCGCATGCGAATACATGGGGAAGTTGGCGTTGTGTTGACTACGAAACAGCTTTGATGTTGAGATGGGATGTGCAAAGTACGACGTTCATGGTTGACTGAATTCCCGTCGCAGCTCCCCGCGTCGCCCATTTCGAAAGCTCGATTGTTGACAGCGAGGGAACGCTACCAATAACCTCTAGGATTGCCATAACTGAATATTTTGAACGAAAGCTATATTGAGATTTATGTATCAAATTAAAACGAGAAATAAAACTGTATAATCTCTTGTGAATAATTCTCGAGAATTTTAGATATAGCTGGTAAAACCGAAATTGGTCTGTAGTTAAGACGAATCATGTTTATTTCCACTTTTGAAAATCGGAACGACTTTAGCTATTTTAAGCTGGATTGGTACAAAACCAGAAGTTAACTACAAATTAAAGATATGAGCAAGTGGGGCTGCAATGTGCATACTTGCGTGTTTCATAACATCTGGTTTTATATCGTCATAGCCAGCACTTGTACTGGACCTAATAGTCTTACTTAATTTTTAAAAAGTACCGTATAAAATTTTAACGATAAAAATATGGCTCCATGTACTTAGAGATGCTACCGTAACTTTTCCAAACTTATTACATCTGAATAAATACTTAAGATTTGTATGTATTTTTCTCTTTTTATATTTCGAGGATCCCTATGGAAACAAGCTTTCTAGCTTATAGGCTCATCCTCTTCCTCTCATTTCTTGTACACTGTATATGACAATGTAGTGAGTGCAATAAATAATAAACAAACAAACAAAATAACATATTACGATAATTTTATTTTTGACTACCATTTGGCTGAAATACACCTTATATCATTATAACTGAAAAGCAAAGACGAAATGAAGAATGTTAAACATCATATCATTAATAACTACTTATAAAACAAAAATCATCCGAAATTGCATATTGAAAAATATTTTATAGACAAATTTACTATCGTTTTTTTTTTTTAAAGTAATTTCTTCGCGTTTGAGTCACATTAAGTCCCAATATAATAAAGCATTGCTTGGTCTGTATTTTTAGATCCATACATTCCGTGTCAAACCAGCCGTTTCATTTTACATATCTCATAGGTAATTTACACCTTTTGATAGCATTATATTTTCAAAAATTGACCGAAAACCCAGGCCGAGTTATTAACATTGTTTTCACAGTTTCATTGTCAATGTTTCCGAGAATTTCATGTTAACCTCCACTATGATTTAAACATCACTGTTGGTGGCTGGTATGTCATTATTTTCCCAAAAAAAGGACTGTAATTTCATGACTTTCTCTTCTTTGTGCTACTATTATTGTTTTAGTACTGAAAGTGAAAGTTATATTACCAACTTAAACCAACACAAATTTGACCATCAGGGCACCGAAAACTTAAACTTTTTATCATAATCAGGATAAAGTGCATTACACTTTTTTTTTTTATAAGAACACATTTTATAAGAACACTGAGGCTGACATTGCTTAAAAATTGAGGCTGAGGTAGAATGTCAAACTAGAAAAACCAAAAAATGATATCTGTACCTTATGTGCATTAGGTGTGACTATGTAATACCCTCTATAATACAGTCCACTTTTTGTGGGGCCATTTTTTGCTGGGCCTTTCATTCAGGGGCCATTTTTTTGCAGGGCCGCTTTCACCTCTCAGTACAGTACAGTATACTGCTGTACAATAATAATTTTCAATGTTTGAAAAGTGTGTAAAATAAGAACGAAATAAGAACATTTTGAGCCTGAAATTGGCCAAAAAATAAGAATACTGAGCCTGGGCAAAATTTTACTGGTTCTTATAAAAAAAAGTGTATTATAACTATCATTATTATTACTGTTATTATTATTATTATTAATTATTATTATTATTATTATTATTATTATTATTAATTATTATTATTATTATTATTATTATTATCATTATTATAATTATTATTATTATTATTATTATTCTCAAATATCATACTAAAACTATGAATTTCATATAAACATCATGCACAACGTAAAATTCCACCGTATATTATTTGGTCTAATTTGCTTCTGTTTGAATGAAAGCAACTGAATTATCACAATCACTTACACTGACCTTGCTATCGATAGTGAAATTCGAATTCGTTTGATTTTCAGTCGGTGTGTAATCGTTAGTCTGTATGGTGGAAATCTGTCTAATCTCAGGTTTTTTTGGTTGACGTTTACCGTCAGGTTTCCAAACTAGTTGAGTGAGGTGTTTACGGAATGTTGGGTTAGAAAACGAGTATATGAAGGGATTTAGACAGGAGTTAAAGTATGGCACCAAGAGGCCTATGTTTGTAACTAACAGGTTAAGATTTTTCCCCTTCTTGAACATCTTTATGAGGTTATATGTTGCAAAGAACGCATAACAGCTCACATACGCTATGTAAACAATAAAGAGCATACGCGCCGTGCGAATGTGCATATTAACCTTACGTGACGTTGAATGTCTAGCGACGCCATATTGTCTTTTCCAGACGGTGGTAATAATAATGACATAGATGAGACCGGTGATGATAACTGGTAGATAGAACAGCAACACATTGTTGTAGGTACTCTTAAAATAAATATACCACGCATCCGCAGTCGGAAGAAATATTTTGCAAGCAAATTTGCGCGTACTAGGAAGAGGTGGTTTGTTCGGACCGTCATACCTGGCCTGTGAAAAAATATATTAATGTATGAAAATCCAATTTGGTGTTAACACCTAGTTACTAACATGAAATAACATTAATAATGCTAATATTAGCAATGGATTTGAATTTGTCTGAATTGCATTTATTGCAAATATAACACTGTCCACATTGACTAATGTGTGTGTTGTGCTATGGCCATGATCTAGTCATGATACACACAAATACAATTTGATAGTGTGTCAAAGATTAAGAGAAGTTGTATTGTTAAATTTTGAGTTTTTTTTTAGATCATTATAATTGTACAGACTTCTCAAGTTAGTAAAGTGCATTCATAAAGTCCTTGAATATCCATGGTATACAGAATGTAACACCTAATAATTTTTCTTGAGTGCAAAATCTGAGTTGCTTAAGTTACAGGTACAATATAATAACAGCTGTGAAATTTCAAGTACACGGGACAAGATGAAGATTTAAGGGGCACCTTACTTATAGTCCAGGGGCCAGAAACCGAAAAGGTGCACCCCTTTTTACCTACTGAATATATTTTTTTGTTTTTAATATCAAAGTGTAGAATAATACGTTTCCTATCAGTTTGTATGAAGTTCGAGGTTATTGCATCGTTATTTTATGTCACAGAAAGTCAAAAGTTCATCAACTAAAATTAATATCAAAATCGAATTTCAACCAAAATATATATTAAAACTTGTGATAATAATTTTCTATACCGTTAACAATGAATTAATATGGATAAAAGTTGATTGAAGTAATTAATATAGTAAAATACATGTATAGATAAAATTGTAACATCTTAGCCTCAGTCACTGCTATGTTATGGCTCCGAAAATATGTGGGAGTGTCTATATTATGCATTCACCATTGAAATTTGATATGAAAGAAAAAGCTCTTAACTAGCTTTAAATAAGCAGTTATGATGCTGACAACTGGTGATGCATCTTATAGGTGGCTGCGCTATTATTATATATCATAAAATAAATATATTTTCACAATTGTGATATTTAATTGTAAATATAAAGTAACGGATTATGGATGTGTGTCCATTTAATGCATTAATATTGACGTGGGGTGGGGGAAACATTATGCCCACAACTTCACTCGTCTTGACGTGTGTCTCATGTATACATGTTACATGTAGTAGGCTACTCCCGTAAAGCATACACTTTCTATTTTAAACTTAATTATTTTTAGATGTAATTCAAGAGCGTCTAGCCGTGTACTAATTCCAAAAAATCTCAAATGGAAGGGGATGCCTCTCCCTAATCCCATGATCAAGGAGGGACAGGGGGACACGTCCCAAAATATTGTTAAGGGGGTGGGGGTTGGTACCCTCACTTTTCGTCCGCAATGTAATAATTTCATAAGTCACGAAGATGCCTTAAAATTGTTGAAATGAACTGCATAAATGACCCAGGTTTTAACGAAAGTGTGCGTACAACCGGTACTCTATCTCTGCCCACAAACATCTGAATTATTTTTACTTATAATACACGACTCTTGTGCGCGTGCCTTTATTATAATTTGAGAAGTATGAGAAAAAGCGTGTAATAATAATAATAATAATAATGATAATAATAATAATAATAATAATAATAATAATAATAATAATAATAATAATAATAATAATAATAATAATAATCAGATTAGTTTTCGGCACATGGTAAAGTAAATTAAAAACATATCAAAGACAATTGAGTTTTATTTTCAGTGAACATCACAGCGATTAATTTGATCGATGAGGATGAATTTTGTTATGAAAAAGTGTCATTTCCTGTAATCAGAGGTACTATTTCCCCAAATGTTCCCACCTCAGGCCTTGTGTGGACTAATGGCTTTGAAGTAGGTAGGCATAAATTAAGTAGGCCATACATCAATGTTTTTAATATTTATTTTCTATAGTACATCACACATATTAATTTGTTGCCGAAAATAGCTGGTAAAACATCATGAGAAATTTGTTGGCGCTAATTTTTATATATAATGGTGATGTGATGACGATGAATTTTACTATATAAAAGTGTCATTTCCTGTCATCTAGAGCTTTTCGTGGGCTCACAAAATGTCCTCCTCACCTTTCGAAACAGATCTCCGCCCTTGTCAAAAGCACCATGCACACGCGCAGTCATACTTAAATAAAGTTGCATTATCCGTCACGTAAATTTATTAATTCTTGTTAAATGTACCCAAGCCGAGGCCCTTTCGTTGGCAAGTTAAATTTATGAATGTACTGTACCATGGATCAAGTGTACGAAAATCAAAAGGGCATCCGTCTTTTATTATATTTTTTTGAATTTATAACAATTGCTTCAAGTTCCGGAGAACTTTCTTTACTGCTTTAGAGACGAGTATGGGGATATCCCAGTGTACTGGTTTTTAACGTGCGCCTCACTGTTTTGTGGCACCTAATTTACTGGGTAGATTAGACACGAAGTGATTTACTGAGGAGATTTGACACGAAGTGTCCCTTTCGATGGAAGGAAGTTACTATAATGAGCTATTCCACAACTCGGGCGCTTTGACAATTCAATATCAAGCGTAATATAAATCTAACTACTGTGCATTACATTTTCTCATTTACTGAATATAGTACGGTTAATCTATTTAAAGTATTACTATACATTTCCGTGCATTTGGTCAATGGCGTATTTTCCTTGTAGTTTACAAAATATAATAATATTTTACACTAACCATGAAGTTGTACGATTGATGGACTGCGAACAACATTGCCGAGATCCACAACATCACAATAATTCGTTTGGTCCGCTTTAGTGTGAAGTTTGTTTTGAACTGGATTGGCTTACACACCGCAAAATACCGATCCACTGCTATTGCAACCATGGAAAATACTGTGACGTCAAAACCGATGTAACGAAGCCAACGGTGGAGTATACATTGAGCATCGTGTCTCCACAGTATCCACCAGGTAGATGGATAGAACTCTGTAATTTGATAGAGCGCCACTACAACTGCAAGCAAATCACCTGTAGCACAAATACAGCAATTAACATTTGTTTTCATAAAATTCGTCAAGTACAATGTTGAAGCCACACATTTAGGTATACGCAAGGAATAAAAAACAACAAGGCAAGCAAACTGCATTAGGAGTCGTTATTTCCTTTCAAAAATTGCTTTCAGCCATGCGGATTTCGAACATTTTTTTTTTCAAAAAACAATGGCCCTTTGGCTTCTATTTTCTATAATGTACTTAAAACCTGACTATAATTGCTTAATAATACAAATTGATAAATGCTTATAGCAGGAACATAATGTATAAGAGACAGCACATACGCTATGTAAACAATAAAGAGCATGCGCGCCGTGCGAATGTGCATATTAACCTTACGTGACGTTGAATGTCTAGCGACGCCATATTGTCTTTTCCAGACGGTGGTAATAATAATGACATAGATGAGACCGGTGATGATAACTGGTAGATAGAACAGCAACACATTGTTGTAGGTACTCTTAAAATAAATATACCACGCATCCGCAGTCGGAAGAAATATTTTGCAAGCAAATTTGCGCGTACTAGGAAGAGGTGGTTTGTTCGGACCGTCATACCTGGCCTGTGAAAAAATATATTAATGTATGAAAATCCAATTTGGTGTTAACACCTAGTTACTAACATGAAATAACATTAATAATGCTAATATTAGCAATGGATTTGAATTTGTCTGAATTGCATTTATTGCAAATATAACGCTGTCCACTATGCTGTCTCTTATACACATCTAGATGTGTATAAGAGACAGAACTATAGCCTTCCTAAAAAGTAGTTTTATGGTTTACATTTTATCTTACTTTGTTTCACTATATTATCTTAACAATAAATGAAAGATAAACACAGAATTCTAATAAGTATCTTAAAGACTGACGCACCTTTACATTAGTTTCGGCCTCGTTGGTACCATCATCATTTTATCTAGAGACGAGTCATACTAGGCCAGGATCGTCCCGTCCACTACACCAGCAGTAGGCCTATGTGGTTAGTTCATGTTTCGCCTACCGCGCTAATCAAATTTATCTTTGCTCTTGGGAATACAGACGAGCTGCTCCTCTTTTTGGTGACATTCACTTGTTTTTAAAAATACGTAAACGTACCCTCGACCACTCCCGAGGCTTATCCAGGTATCCTTTGTCTTCAATTTTGTGTCGCAGGTTCGACAGCATGACATCTTTCCCGTCGGCCTAGGCCTATTGTGGTGGACAGTTATGTTCTACTGTAGTCTTTAAAATACTGAGCCTCGCGTGAACCAAGACGGTTCGCAATACAACCACTTTCTAGACTGCAGCTTTTCCACGCTCTCGATATTGTGCGCAGAACAAAAATTTCTCTGGAATACAGTTTTTTTGGCGTTTCGGTTGGTGTTTTCTTTTCCTCCACTAATAAAATACCACGATATTCCACGCACCTACACGGAGCTATGTCCCAACTTCCTGACTCCTCTCTACATTCGTGGCACCAAAACGAGAACCGTTTGATTGGTTGACCTTCCGTCATAACATTCACTCTATTGCCAAATACGGCATCCCAAAAATTATGTCATGCTTGTCATGGCCAGCGGTCTGCAATCGATTTGACTCACTCTTTTACAAGTCTCTAATTCGCATAAAAGTTTCTCGATATATACCGTCGCTGGTGGCGCTCTCCAAAATTAACTAATACTAGGAAAACCTATAATTAGAGACTTGTGGCAAGTCTACACACAACCTATCGGAAGCAAACTTAAAGTGTTCATTGAACCATGGAGGTATAAAAATATTTTTATACCTCCATGATTGAACAAACCATCAAATCCCATTGCTTTACCCAACGGAAGCTTATCAATATATTTTTTGAGAGTATTAGGCGTTACCCTAATTTTATAGTTATTACTGACATTGTCATCATCCAGAACATCATTAACAAAAGACTATATATATCAAAAAGTTGACATCAGCTTCTGCTTTAAAAATATTACAGTATCGAAGGTGGAATGCAGACAACTGGAGAGGCTTACAAATAAAAGCAATTAAAGCAGAAGCCGACGTCAATTTTTGGAAAATTGTAAAACCTGTGGTGTTTCCCCGAGATTTATATGTATGCTTCAAGTGAAATAAAATGTAAAAACAATGAAAAAAACGGTGTACAATCATTGAATGTTGACTTGCGGAACACAAATTTATTTAACTATAACAAACTTTAACGTTGATAAAGATAGCAGGATCTATCGAAATATCCGTTTGAAGTCAACTTTCAATGATTGTACACCGTTTTTTCATTGTTTTTACATTTTATTTCACTTGGATACATGCAAACCCACTCTTGAATATATATAAAACTCAGGAACAAGGTATATATATATTTACTACCAGCTAAAAATCTTATAATTCTAATAATGCTTTTTCGATGTAGGCCTAATATTGTTTTAAATAAAAATAATGTGCAACTCACAAGCGCAATAGACTTGGCAAAGGAATTTAATTCTTTCTTTTGTAGTATAGGTGAAACTCTTGATGCTGAAATTATTAACGAGGCAAATTATCCTATTACATTTTATCGAATTTTAATGATCCTTCTTGTACATCTATTTTTTGCAATATCTTATTTTAATGTTTATAATTCTCTCTATAAATTGTCCGTTTTGCAAAGTCACTTGTCTTGATAGTATAAGTGCAAAATTTGGGAAAGATGCTGCTCCATGTATATCCGATCATCTGGCCGCAATATTGAATTTTTCTCTCTCTTCTGGTCTTCTTCCAGCCGAATGGAAGCAAAGTAAGCTGGTGGTTACCATTCATAAAGAGAGACCAAGGGACAAATGTGGGAATTATAGACACATCTCAATTATTCCAACTTCAATGAAAATATTTGAACGCTGTGTACAAAAAACCTCTCACTTAACTAACAACAATTACAGTAAATCTACCCTCATCAATATGGCTTTTGTTCCATTCATAGTACATCTCCTGCCCTCATTGAAGTTTCCGACTATAATTCTTGATAACATGGATAAAAGCCAACTCACAGGTGGAGTTTTTTCCTGACTTGAAAAGTTTTTTACTCAGTTTATCACCAAACTTTTATTAACAAACTTACTTCATTAGGAATTTCTGGTCATAAGCGTAATTGGTTTGCCGCTTACCTTGATAATCGTCAACAAGCGACCTGTGTAAATGACACTCCTTCTGATCTTCCTCCCATTCGGTACAGAGTTCCTCAAGGATCCATCTTAGGGCCTCCCCTATTTATTATGTTTATCAATGACCTTCCTAATTACATCACACAGTGCACAGTTTCAGTCTATGCTGACAACACTTCTTTATTTTCTTTTCATCCACCACCTCACAACGTTTGCAAATTGGCTAACCAAAAACAAACTCACTTTAAATATAAGCAAACTAAAGCAATCTTTTTTGGATCCTCTAGAAAACGCAAAGGAACAGATGAACTTGGCATTCACATTGGTAGCTCTGCCATTCATTCAGACAGTTACCTGTATTAAATATCTTCTTCTTTGCTTACCAGTTATCATGGACAATTCATCAGCCTATCAACAAAATTAATCAAAGAATTTCTTTACACTGTAGGATACCGTACGTCATAATCTTGTTAAAAATATTCTTAATTTACTTTACAAAAGTCTTATTCTACTTCTTTTTGACTATTGTGATGTTGTTTGGGGTAACTGTGAAAAAGGGCACTCTGACAGACTACAGAGAACACAAAATATGGCAGCACCAGCTATTCTTTGAGCAAAGGTCAGAGCAAATAGGCCTATATGGTCTCTTCATTAGCAACTCGATTAGTCCTTACTGCAGGACAAAAGAGAAGAACATGAATTGATCATGGTACGAAAATGTTTGAGTGGCAGAGGTCCAACATATTTTGATAATATCTTTACCCCTGTAGGTATACTTCATAACCATCGGACTAGAGCCAGCTCTTCGGGACATTGTCATTGCCGAAATGTCGAACCGAATCTGGGAGGAGGAAGTAATTGTAATAGTAATGATAATAATAATAATAATAATAATAATAATAATAATAATAATAATAATAATATTAATAATAATAAATAATAATAATAATAATAATAATAATAATATAATAATAATAATATTAA